CATTCGGATTCTTACTGCGGCTGCGTCTCATCACCGTACTGTGTTTCTGTAGATATCTGTTTGTTTTACACCTTCGTTCATCACCACACACTGTTTCATGCGCGCACTAACGCTGTTGTCTGCCACCTTGATTAACAGTCCCTGGACTGGCCTGCGACATGTGTGCTGCCTATCGGTTATAGGACACACACTTGCCACTTACTACTGCATGTAGTACCACCACGCAAGCATCCCTTTTTATACCTGTCAAAAGTTTGCTCTTCGTAGATAGGTAAATAGATATAGTTGTGTTTGTTGTATATATTTTTGGCTATGTGTTTTTTTTTTTTTTTTTTTTCAATAACCTTCAGCAAAATTGCACCATCACGCTAATAAGGTCAGAATGAGTGGAGTATTCTATAAGAGAATAAAAGTGGTGGTGTTGTCTGTGATCACCGAACAGATTGGCGGCATCATTGCTGGGATATAGACCCCCTCTCCACACACAGCCTGCACTGATGTGTTCAGGAGGAAAGACTCAGTCTCCCTACATCAGCACACATCCTACTAGGAGGAATCCAGCTACTCCCACTCATTCTTCATCCGAGGATGGACACAACATGCTGGACATTGAGGCTGCGATCTCTCAAGCTCTGCCCAATGTTCCATGCAGTGCCCAGTAGGATAGAGGGAGCAGTGTTATGGAACAGAGGTATTTTGAACATCCAAATCCCCAGCAAGTGGCTGGGGATTCAGATTTTACTGCTCCCCTACCCCCTCCCAGCCTGGACACCTTAAGGTACTGGCCCTGATTATATGTGCCTCTACAATACAGTTTTCTCAAAGTCCCCCCAAATACCTGTTGATCCTTCCAGTGAAGTCAACCTAATTCAAGTTACAATTGGCAGGGGGGCAATAATGCTGCACTGCTCCTGAATTCAGAGCTGAGTTGCCACTTTCATGTAGGCTGTGCCTGCTTGTACAACAGTGGGAAGGGAAGATGCTGCAGAGGACATGGCTGTCGGCATTGTCACTGCTTAATAACAAACCTGAAGCTTGTCAATCAGCTCCTGGCCACACCTAGTCCTGCCCACTGTATGGCAGCACTTCTTTTTGTTTCTGAAACTATCCCCTGTGAGTTGCAGTGTATGGAGGGGGGGAGGATGTTAGGGGCAAATTAATCCAAATTTGGCTCAGTCAGAAAAGGTAAATACATTTTTTTTTTTGTTTTCTTTATTTCATGAGGCTTATGCATCACATAGTAACCAGAATTGGTACTTGTTTTACAGGAGCCTTTAGTTGTACATTAATTAAACCTAGTTATGACTTGAAATAATTCTAATTACACTAATACTGTTTCCATCACCATTCTTATAATCACTTGTACGTGATCCAATAAAATCTTGCTGATTTGATCACACAGTTGCTTGTTAAAATGTTCCCAGCCAGGCCCCCACTTGTGCTTTGCACTCCCATTCACTGCTATGGATTTCCGAATTGGAGCTTGTACCTAGAACATCATAGGAACAAATAAGTGAAGAAAGTGCAGAGGGCATGTGCAGGCCTAGCCAGGAAGATTATGACAAGTGGCTATGCAATGTGATGAGCAAGATCCGAGAAGGCCATGCAATGTGATGAGCAAGATCCGAGAAGGCCATGCAATGCGATCAGCAAGGTCCGAGAAGGCCATGCAATGCGATCAGCAAGGTCCGAGAAGGCCATGCAATGCGATCAGCAAGGTCCGAGAAGGCCATGCAATGCGATCAGCAAGGTCCGAGAAGGCCATGCAATGCGATCAGCAAGGTCCGAGAAGGCCATGCAATGCGATCAGCAAGGTCCGAGAAGGCCATGCAATGCGATCAGCAAGGTCCGAGAAGGCCATGCAATGCGATCAGCAAGGTCCGAGAAGGCCATGCAATGCGATCAGCAAGGTCCGAGAAGGCCATGCAATGCGATCAGCAAGGTCCGAGAAGGCCATGCAATGCGATCAGCAAGATCCGAGAAGGCCATGCAATGTGATCAGCAAGATTAGAGAAGGCCGAGTGTAAGTCTGAGGCTGCAGCTGGGCATACCATAAAGTGTTACCGCACAAAAGATGGATATTTTCTATTATGTTGCAAGATAGGAATTCCCAGATGCTCTCTGTGGGTTGCTTTCTGTCTTTATTTACTGCAGTGTTTGCTGGATAGCATTACCACATGACAGATTGTTTTTTTACTAGATTCCTGGAATTGCTCTAATTTCACACTCAGGTGGCTACATTGTGAAACTACAAGATTTGATAATATACAATAGGATGTAGAAAGTCCTTGTTTCTCACTTGCTGTTTATATTTTTTTTTTTCTTTCAGACTTCTGTACAGCCTCGCCTTTAATGCTAGATTTTTAAGACACCTTTGGTACTTAATTTCTTCCATGACAACAAAAATGATCACAGGGTATGTACACCTACAGTATTCAAAATGTTTGAAATAGATTGTACAGCTATGGGGTGAGTTTTTAAAAGTCTAAAATCAATAAATACATTTTGTAGCTTAGACAAGAACATTATTTGTCAATTTTTTTCCAAGATAACCATAATAATTTTCATATCGATTGATGGTATGCTGACTGATGTTTTGTGCATGTAGATAATGTCTATCTCAACCTTTTCACCTGGAGGAAAGTTCAAAATAATTTTTAGTGTTCAGCTGAAGGGCTGTGTAGAGCTGCCTTCTTACATTTGTGATCGATGTAGTGCCCCGTACATTGGTGGTCAGGGAAGAAAGGCTACCTGACATTGGTGATTTGTATAGTACACCCTTCATTGGCAATCAGTGTAGTAGGGCTCTTTTTAGATTGAAGGTAAGTGGAACGATGGCCCAGTACCCTGGGGGCCCTTATAGGGCCCCTTACATTGATTGTCACTGGTCCTACTCTACTGGCACTGCTGAGTGATATGGAGTTTTTGGAACTATGCAGCCCCTATCGGGCAGAAAATCAAACCACCACTGCTCAAGGAACCCCCCAGCTGTCTTTGGCTGAGAGAGGCTGATGGAAACAATGTAACATTATCATTGTGAGGAAAAGATTTTGCATAAATAACCTTGATGGTCATCAAACATTGCTTTATTCACTGTTTTGTATTTACAAACAGGTCCATGGTTCCACTACTGCAGGTGATATCTAGAGGCTCTCCAATGTCATTTGAAGACTCCAACCGAATCATCCCTCTTTTTTATCTCTCTTCAGTTCATTATTTAGTCATTCCCTTATTTCCATACATGATAATGAGTTCTTTGGTGATCCCATGGAAGGTAAGAAAAGGTTTCTTTTTTTTAAAGAAAACTACAATGTATTTTTAATTTATTATACATTTTGAGTTATTGTATATTAAAGTGGAACTTTAGTAAGAAAATTAAGTTCTCCTAGATTACTTCAGGCTGGCCCCTTTTGCAGGTATAGCTATGTTAAACATTAAAAATAAGCGTCTACACTGTTTTAAATTCAGAAATACGCTGTCTAACCCTGCTCTGCACATGCTCAGTTGCTCTCTATATTTAGGAACTGTGCCAAAAATGTAGAGGCCGATCTGGTGACAGCCTAAACGTTTACTGCTGCTCAGGGGCTCTTGGCGTCAGCAAAATGGCAGCTTCCAGCAAAAAGAAACAGGAGCAATGCTAGAGGCAAAGTTCCACTTTAAAGTATAACTGAAGGCAATTTTTAAAAATATATTAGATAGGTGTTCTATATTAGTTTTTTTCTGTGTCCCTATTGGGGAGATTTGCCCTCTCCATTTGACCATTATCTCCAAAAATGGAAGGAAATGCGAAATTTGTTTTAGTGGTCTCCAGAACAGGAAAAGATGGCAAGTGAGGGGATTTCTCTCGCTTTGAAGGGATTTCCCCCTCACTTCCTATCATGGCTATTGGACAGGAAGTGAATGGAAATCTGACAGGGGTTATAACTCTCACTTACTGTATTAAAAATGAATAAAAGTTTTGCCTTTTAGTTTTGCTTTAGTATTTGGTAAATGCTGAGTTCCAAGAAAAACTGCAAAGGATTTATGATTCTGTTCAGTCAGTCTTGTGATTCAGGCTTCTCATGCAAACATCAAAGCCTGCTTTTGGACGTGTAGATTAAAATACAGCCTGATCCAGGACCTGTCCCAGCCTTACAGTAAACTCAGAGCACAGAGTGGCCCCGATCCTCCCCTTCTCTGGTTCCCCTTCAGCACTCATGGCTCCTCTTCTTCCTATTGTGCCACCATAGGAATCCGCTTCCTATCGTGGTATACTTTTGGGCTCGATCCCAAGCTACGTTGCCTGTGTCCATAGACGCAGACAACACATCTCACCTGCCTCTGTTCCCGCTGTCTCAGCAAAGCCTGTGATAGGAGAGAGCTGCTGCAGATGGACACAGCACTGGATTGAGTATGGTAAGTGAGGTACTCTGATAAGTGTATGGGGGGGGGGGGGGGGGGCGATAAGGTAAAAATGTTTAGGCTTTAGAACCACTTTAAATTGTCCAAGAAAGGAGGAGAGCAATCTGATTGTTAATGCCTGTGCTCTCTGCTCTTGTGAGGATGGGTAGAAACTGGTCAAAAATCATTCAGCTCAGCAGGAACTGGTCGACTTCCAGTCAGTGTATACAACTGTCTATCTGACACAGAAGCCAGTTTAACCAGCTCCCGCCCGCCATATGGTAAAATGACGGATGCAAGGCGGTTCTCTCGTTCTTGGAGGACGTCATATGATGTCCTCCCATTCTAACCGCGCATGCGAAGCTCCCGGAGCGCACAGTGCGGCGATCAGCGGTGCGCTGTGTCCATCAGACACATCGGATCACCGATCCACAGAGAGCCGGAGATGTCAGCTTGGTCATGTGATCAGCTGTGTCCAATCACAGTTGATCACATGTAAACAGGGAAATGGCGGTTATCGGCATTTCTTTCCCAACGAATTGTCACGCTGACAGCTCGTGAGGAGAGGAGAGCCGGTAATCGGCATTCCTCGGAGTGGACATGTACACAGATCATCAGAGCACTGATGATCAGTGTGCCCTGATGATCTGTGTAGCCCCAGCAGCGCCACCTGTCAGTGTCCATCAGTGCCAGCTCTCAGTGCTCATCCATGCCACATCAGTGCCACATTTCAGTGCCCATCTGAGCTGCCTTTCTGTGTCACCCATCAATGCCAGTCAGTGCCACCTATCAGTGCTGCCAGTCAGTGCCGCCTATCAGTGTGCATCAGTGCCAGTCAGTGCCGCCTATCAGTGCCATATATGAGTGCTGCCTTTCAGTGCCCATCAGTCATGCCTGTCAATGCCCATCCGTGCCACCTACCAGTGCCTCCTCATCAGTGCCCATCAGTGCAGCCTATCAGTGCCCAACAGTGCAGCCTCATTAGCGCACATCAGTGAAGGAGAAAAATCACTTATTTACAAAATTTTATAACAAAAACTAAGAAAAAAACTAAAATAAAGCTATATCAGTCGCAAAAAAATGATAAAAATTTCATATGGGTAGAGTGTTGGATGACCGCACAATTGTCATTCAAAGTGCAACAGCACTGAAAGCTGAAATTGGCCTGGGCAGGAAGGGGGTATAAGTGCCCTGTAGGCTAGTGGTTAATAACAGGGTTTTGTTGAAGGAACATATTGAAAAAACCAGCATCTGATAAGCGCTTGCAGCTGATCAATGTATTATGATGGTAGTAGGGGGGGTCCCCCTGTCAGAATATAAACACACAGCGGGAAAGATCGCTGCATCAACATTTCTTGTGTTTAATGCAGCAATCCTTCAATTTTTTTTCTCTTTGTTCAGCCCACTAGTCGAGGAAAAAAAAGAGGAAATAGACTGACGGTGTGTGTGCTCAGTTATTAAACCTGTTCTCTATAAGCAGTAGAGCCTTTTGTCTCAGAGTGCTGCACCTCCCTCTCCTGGTCCAGTCCTCTTAATACTATATAAAATGTACTTAATGATTTTTTGATAAATACATAACTGAATTAATACCGGCCTGGAGTTGAACCTTAAAGCGTATCTAAACCCTAAACACAACTATGAAATGTATTGCAGCTTACTAGACCTTGGATATGGTGGCTGCATTGGTTTTAATGTCAGCAAGTACAGAAATTACCTGTTTATCCTTGCAATAATATAGTGTCCTTGTCATTTCCCATGAGACTAAAAAAAATACAAAGAACCATATCTCCATTGAGTAAACTACTAGACCCATCAATCCACCAAGTAAGTCAGATAAACAAAGACAGATGTGAAGTTCAGCCTGTGTGACATCCATGGCTGCCCCCGGATACAGTGCAGAAAAAATATGTAGGCATTAGGGGATGGAAACTGGGTTTGGTAAAAAGCCAAAAAAAGGAAAATCAATGCATCCACCACATCAAAGGACTGGTGAACTGTAATAGATCACATTTGTGTTTTTACGTTTAGAGGCACTTTAACTTTAGATGTGGCCGTCACATTTTTACTTGCTTTGTGTAGCATATTTTTATGAAGAACTTTAGCAGCTGTCTGTATACTTGGCAGTACAAGATCCTTGATGCACAACTACTGAGATAAAAGCAGTTTCACGATACGTTGTACTGAATTATGTAGAGTCAGTCTGATAGATGTACTGAGACCACAAAGCGCTAAGAAAATTAGAAAAAATAAAGTAGCACTTACTTTTAAAGAAGACCTTGACTACCAAAAGGGAGTTTGTTCTCTTCTAACCCTCTGCAATCAAACTGTTTTTTTTCCCTTCTCTGGCCCATCCTCCACTGCCACTCTTGTCTAGGCAAGAATGATGTGTCCTTGGTCCTGTAGCTCTTGGTATACAACTTCACATCTACCAGGGGACTAGAGGACCAAAAACATAGAGCGGCCGGTGGGTGGGTCCACACCTGTCATCAAGGGATGGCTACCTGAACTCAGAAGAGGCAACCACCTCCAATTAAGGAGGAGAACCTAGATCTCGGCAATGGGAACCAGACTATGCCACCTGAACAGCAGATCACAGTGGGACAATCCTGAATTTGCAGGATTGGTAGGTATCTTTAAAGAGAACTCGATACAAATAAGAGAGTGAAAAAAAGCTTAGGGAGAGTGGAGTTCCTCTTTAAGTAGCACTTAAAGTAGTATTGTTATGGCAGTATTCGTTGTAAGATCACCAGTTGTATGTAGTTCATAAAGTAGTGTGTGCCTGTTTTTGTAATCAAAGTGATTGTAAAGGCACAGTTTTTATTTTTTAAAAATAACAAATATATACTTACGTGCTCCGATTTTGCACAGAGCAGCCCCAATCCTCCTCTTCTCGAGTCCTCCGTTGGCGCTCTGGCCTATCTTCCCTGCTGAGTGTCCCTCATAATTAGCTGACACAGAGTGTGACCTGGCCCTGCCCCCCCCTCTCTTCAGTGGCTGTGATTGACAGCAGCAGGAGCCAATGGCTCTCACTGCTGTCTGTGCCTGTGAGGAGAGAGAGAGCCTCTGTGCTACACCTCACTGGATCGTGACTGGGCTTATGTAAGTACTTAGGGAGGCTGCTTGCAGAAGGTTTTTTAATTTAATGCATAGAATGCATTAACGGAAATAAACCTTCCGCCTTTAGAACCACTTTAAATTAAAGATTTCAAATTAGAATTCCTAAACAAAAAAAAAGTTGTAGTGTTTCTAACAGGGTGGATTTGATTTAAATCAAACTGATTTAAATCACGATTTAAATCACTAGTCAGTAAGGCTTGATTAATTCTTGCTGGTATAACTTTAATATACAAGTAGATGAAGATTTTTAGAATAAATTTTCATATTAGTTTTTTTTATCCCCAGTTTAATAGGTTAATCATTCATATTTGGACAACTTTTCTGTTGTACTTAGGAAGGAGAAAAATAATCATTATCTTAATAACAATTTAAATAGATTTATTCATCTGAAACAATAACATTACAGCATATGTTATTTGCTTAAACAAACATCCATGTTTGTTAACTAATTTGGCTAAACAAAATATATATATTTTAAGAAACTTAGACTGTCGGCCCCTTCCTCCTCACACTTAGTTTCACTTTCTTCTTGTGCAGATCTATTCCACTCCAAACAATCAGAAAAATATTGTTTCTATTCTATTCACTGAACTTCTTGAAACTTAGCACTGAAGGGGTTTGATTCTGTATTCATAGGTTTGTAGAAGTTAGGATTAAGGTCTTTTTCTTAACTCTGTTCATGTTATAACATTTTTGCTGTGAAGAAGAGGCATGTGATCTCTGCTGAGTCAAATTCAGTTTTGATAACTGCAAAAGTAAACCAAACATCTGTGATAATATCTTGTAGGCAGAGAAACTGCCCAATAATCTTACAAAAAACCTCTGGAAGAGCATGACATTGTGAATGGATTCATGGAATTTATTTACCAAAAAAATTAAACATATACAGCCTTATTCTACATAATTAAAAAACTAATCTTTATTTCATGATGGAATAACCTTTGGATGGTAATATATTTTCCTCAAAAAGCATTTTATTCAAAAAAAATCCGATGTTGTTTTTTTTTTTTTTTTTTTTTTCTTTTTTAAATAATTGATTTTTATCCACCCTGGTTTCTAACCAGTATAGAAAATGACCTTGCTCTCTAAATGCAGTTTGTAAAAGGTCAGTCAGTCTAAAAATTATATATTTTATAATACCGCTTAGGCACATTGAACATATCTAGATGTTCACAATCGGAAAAAAATGTTTTCTATTTACATCCATTTTACCAGAAAATTGTTTTACAACCAGCAGCTCTGTTAGGAAGCAAGCCTTTCAAGCTCATTCATACTCCAGAGATGATTTAAAAAATCTGGACCAAGCTGAAAGGGAGCAAAGGTGAAGCTTGTTGGCATTGGCAACCAATTGCCTATTCTCTGCCAAAGTGAAACCTCAAATCTGATTGGTTGCTTTGTGAAACGTCTCGGCCTTGGCTTTTTCACTTGTCTGATTTTTCATAAATCATCTAATGTTGTGTGCTTGGTTACAGAAGTTTTCTTTCTGAAGTGATATTTTCTTCAGCCATGAGAGAGAGAGAGCACACTTTACATTTTTAAATTTTATTTTTACTTGAATGTTCTTCAAATCAATACTAAATTGCCAGTTTATCAGTTTTGATTACCTGTTTATTGTAAGTGTCATTTATGTTTATAGTTACAACCCTTCACATAGTGATGTAACATTGTTGATATTACAGGCACATGTCTGCAATCTCATTTCTCTCACTGTGAGCAGTAATTATTTATTTTTTTGCCAGTTGTCGGTCAGCAGCATTCCTCAATGATGCCTTTCACATTAGAAGAATTGATAGTATTATCTCGCTGCCTAAGAGATGCTTGTTTAGGGATCATCAAACTTGCGTATCCAGAAACAAAGCCAGAAGTGCGAGAGGAATATATGGCTGCTTTTCGAAGTGTTGGAGTGACAACCAATCTGGAGATGCAGCAACGTATACAAACAGAGCAAAAAAGGTGGATCCAGCTGTTCAAGGTAACTAAAGCTGTAGTTAGTGCAATTGTTAAACAAACCTATGATTTACCCATGCAGGCAAAGTATATATACTCTTTCAAGCTGAAATCTAGGCTCAATACAATTCAAGATTCATAAGTCAAAGCTCACTCCAGCCTGTTGTTCATAGCAAGAAAATAGAAGCACCATACTGATGAGGTCATCACACTGCTTCACCTCTTGTCAGCATGTTCCCTGGCAATACATGTGCACTGTAACAGAACCTGATTGGCTTCTATTGCTGCCCTTCTCTCTGCTCTACACAGAATTACAGAAGGCTAATATCAAGATAAATTCAGATACCACTACTAGTTAGTATGTTTATTGACATTTGAATAATACATAATGGTGTGCATGTATTTCTGTATTATTAATGTTTTATTTTATAAAAACCTTGCTCCTTTTTATCATTTTAGACTGGCAAGTGGACTACAATGTAAAAACAAAGTAAACGTTTTTAAATGAGTACATTCTATTCTTTTAGTTGTATAAATATATCAGACAGCTACGGTATAAACAGAAGAACAATGCAGTCTACAAGCTACAGTGGCTTCTGTAAGATGAAACCATTTTTTTTCCAATGAAGTCTTCAGCTTGTGTATGATCACTTATGTCACAGCTGACTCATGATCATCAACTGAGTGGCTCCCGATTATTAGTGGGAAGCAAAGCTGTCACTGAGAACCCTGTCTGACAGCTAGAAACCAGGTGATATTGTCTAGCTGTCAAAGGGAGAACATTGATTACCATATCCTCAGCTTGTTTTTATACAGATTTCTAGTGGGAATATATTTAAGAAAACATGTATTGAGAAAGATATGTAGACTTCCATTGCTCTCGTCGTGCATTAACCACTTTGAGTCCGGACACTTTAACCCCTTTCCTGTCCAGGCCAATTTTCAGCTTTCAGCGCTATCACACTTTG